CATTGGGTAACGAGCTGGGTAGTCCCGAGTTGCGAAAGATGGCTGCCGAATCCCTGGCTACGAACGGCCCGAATGTTGGCACGTTCAAGGCCTTTGGTACCGGCAAAGGATTGCTTGTTGCTTCCGACATTTGCTCCTCTAGTGTTCCAGCATCGGGTGTCTTCGTCGGCGTCTCGGATGCGGCATCAACCTGTATTTCAGGTGTGCTACCGAGCTCCTCTGTGCTACCTTCTCCGTCATCTTCCAAATCTGGGTGCTCCTCGGTGTCAGAGTCGTCGTGAAATCCGTTCTCATACATGCCCATGACATCCTCCAAGCTCAAGCCTTCGCTCTCGGCCATGCTGGCCCTTGCATATCCGTTGATGATGAGGGACTCCGTTATACTGCTTGTCTTAGACAGCACACTGCTGCGCTCCGTGCCGGTGTTCGTGAAAATGGTTCCCAAATGAGTCGAGGCACTCAATTGCGATCGTACGCTCGAGCGGCCTTCCTCAATCGAGCCCGCCAGCCATGGTGGAGGGTCTCGGGGCGTTGAGGGCGCGCTCGTGACCTTGTATGACATTGGCGGTCTCGTCAAGTAGGTGGGGTTGGGCCGTCTGACGGAAGCAGTACGATAGGTAAAGCTGATCTGGTTGTCCGAAGGCTGGTGCGGGAGGGATGTGAAGGTGTTTGTTGTATTGGTGGAACGGGCTGAAGACGTCGAAAAGCCTCGATCGCGCGGCCAGTCCAGTTGTTGTAGGGAAGGGTTGAGGGAAGCATTACTCGCTACTGGTTCGGGCGCCGCAGTTGGGTGGTTTGTTCCTTGCCGAATGCTAAGTTTCCGAGGTCTCGAGAAGTTCTCCACCACATTCTCGTAGTCCATGAACGACGGACTGTCAGTTCGGAATGATCTTGTCGTCGACGAGGAGGGGGTGATTGGACGGTGGTATCTAGGTGCTCCAGCAACCTGGTCTAGGAGGGGAAACGCTCGGAGAGCTGGATTGGATGGCAAGGTAGCTTTTACCTCAGGCGATACCGGGTGAGAGGCTAGAGGATTAGGAAGATTCGAAGGCTGGATCCTCCCTCCTCCCGAACCAGGTCTCGGATCGGAGCTGTGCGACGCGAGAGTGCTGCTCGTGTTATGCGGTAAGGAATCCCATCGAGGAGAAATCGGGGACAGAGGCAAAGGAGGCAGCTGATGGATTGATGGCGAGAGCGGTCGGATGAGGGAGCGGGAGGACGGTATCTCCAACTCTGTCACTACATCGTCATCGTAATAATCCTCTTCGTCGTTGTTGTTGTGCCATGAACCGTAGTGGCCAGCTTCGCGAGTGGCAGCCGCGTTTGCAGACATGCCTGTCTCAAGGCGTATAGCAGCGGGTCGGTCGTCGGATTGGCTTATGTCTACACGAGGTGTAGGCAGGCCAAGCTCGCGGTTGTCCATGCTGCAGGGAGGGCGCGTAGAATCACCATCGGTGCTGGCTGTGCTCGCTACTGCTAGATTGGCCTTGAAACGTTACGGTACGGTCGAGGGTACGATAGAAGCGTGTTGTTCAGAGGAAATGCCATATTTTAGGTCACTACTCGCTGCTGTCAAAGGCAGAAACCTGGGTACACCCTAGCTCCACGCTAAAAACCATCCAGCAGTTAGTGCAATTTCACAGCGGACGGGGCCTAACCGGGGTTCCGCCTTGAAATTCTAGACGTCTAGCGGGTTTAAGTGACAGGCCCCTTGCTTTCCCGTTATGGTAATTCATGGTCGTGAAGGAGCAAATGGCAAGGTCATTCATTGTATTGTCAGTTATGGCTCCTTTATGTGCACATTCACATACCTTATCTTGTTATTGCTCCCAACCGCTGTATGCTCTGTGTATTTATCTTGATGCTCTACCCTGCTGGCTAGTATGATCTGGAAAGTCTACACTAGAGGTACCTTTAGGTATTTATAGATCCAAGATGTACATGGGTTGTGGCAACCATTATTAGGCCCAAGCATGATGATGGTGGAGATATGATGATGCAAAGGGAGGTTTCCAAATATCCGACGCTTTGCTACAGCTTTCATTCGCTCCCTTACCGACAAAACCTATCAGACAAGTAGCTGCCTGCCCAAGTACTTACGGTACGTACGCTACCATGTAAGCTCTCCTTGTACCTGCTCGATATATTGTTTCGTGCAGAATGGCATTGTGAACGTCTCAACAGAGACTGACCAATCGTTGCTTGTACATTGCTGCTTCGGACTTAACCGTACAATTGCATACCAGTAATGCTTAACCAATGCAAAGGAAATGAGGATGATCACTCGATCGAACGAAACACACAGAAATGAATGATCGACGTCGAAGTAGAAGGCTTCCAGAACAATGCCATTTCCACGAGTCGCGGTTTGAGCACCTCACCTGAAAACCATACTCTTTTCTGTATTTATGTACGGTGAACCATGAGACAGGACTCCTGGCAGGACAGCTGGACGTTGCTCCATGTGCGCAACTGGCCGGTAATTGGCGCTTCACGGTAGCCCTTCAATCTGTCGGTATCAAAAACACCACGCAAGCTGTCAAGTGTCTTCTGTACGTTATCTGGAGGCAAAGTCAGCACGAGTCCTCCTCCCTTCCTGAGTGCCTTTGGCGCCGGCAGCAAGGAGCAATAAAAATCATATGATACAACGCCGGCGAAATGTTGGCGGACCAGCTGAAAGGAGAATGCATCACCATTTCTGGTGTAAGACAAGTGTGAGCAACTGTCTTGGATCGAGCAGAAACATCTGCACGTGCATATGACTGCTCCCAAACAAGCGTTCTTCCCCAGATGTAGTAAGGGCCCCGTTGAGGCTGGGAGGATTGTTGACTGTCGCGCCAGCTCTCAGCGTGCCAGTGGTCATCGATCAGATCATATATCGGATTGTAGACGACTGGTGTCAGACACCATCATGAACACCTTTTAGAATCGGCTCCTCGGCTAGAGCGCGAAATGAAGGTATTCTTTACTCAATTGTTTAGAATGAAGCTGTTCCGTCCGTCCTGGTAACCGTAGGTCGGAGTGGAGAGGTCTACGTACCAACCTAAGGCCGGGCCCGGGCAGGACGGGACCCGAGCTTTCTCGGACCCGGAACAACCACTACCCGGTTAGCACACCTTCAGTCACGTGAACTTGGACAAATCTCCGCCCTCTATCAATGTCGTCATGATGAGAGCTTGACGCTTTCGTCCTGGTTCCTGGCGGTAACCTATGCCAAAAGGACCTTGAGATGAGCCGTCGTCCAGCCACAAGCTGGCATGCTCTCATTGGGTCTACTGCGGTGTGTAGCTCACGGCGAGCTTCCATTTGTCCCACAGATGGAGCGAATAGCTCACTTGTGTGCTGCCTTGATTGATGGCCACCAAAGTGAGTCTCATGTAAGCCATCCCCTCATCTGGCGCAGCGGCACAGAGCCTGAGGGCTTGGGTGCTTGCCCCCTTTCCTCGCAGCTCTCTCAGCTCCACCTGGAGCACAGGTAAGGTACGTACCTATTTGCGGTAGCTTGCCAGCCTTCCCACCTAGGCGAAACCCCCAGAATCCCCCCCAGCGTGCCAGTCCGTTTCCTCTGTTCCTCTCTTTTCTCACCCATCCTGGTGTACTGTCCTCAATACCTCGAGTCGATAAAGCACTGTCCGTTCTGCCCTCTACCCAACCGATTGATACCTCTTGAACTCGAATATCACCATGTCCAGCCGTAAGAGAAAGCAAGAGGAGGAGGAGCTTGTTGCTCTTCCAAGTGACGAAAGCGAGGAAGAAGAGGAGTAAGTGATGCATCCCATAACCAATGCTTCTCCTGGCGTATCTGTTCAGCAAGATGTGCGAGAACGCCTTTGCCATTGCATCGCCATGTAGAAAGCAAGTAGGCAGCCTCGACAGCACTGCGCGGCGCGCATGCTAGCGCAACTCGTGCGCACGCCGGCTTGTCGTCTAGCAAGGTTCCAGAGCTCGAATTGGGCTCATGCTGTATTCCCATAGATGACAGAGATGCTAATCAGCTCATGGATTAGATACCAGAGCTCTGGAGAAGATGAGGATGACGTAGAGGATGACGATGACGATGAGGAGGAGTTTGTCGAGGAGGAGGCCGGCGACGATGACGAAGAAGAACAAAAGCCCGCCGCAGGTAAGCAGTCACCCCGTCCCGGCTTGTCCCTGGGTACATAAGCCCCCTTTTCGATGCCCGTTGCCACATGCGGTGGCTATTTGGCTTTTCGCCTGATCAAGCCAGCTAACTTGTCGTCAAACATAGCTCCTCCCAAGAAGAAGCAAAAGACAGCTCCAGCACCCAAGAGCAATGGTAAGAAGAGTGCTCAGAAGAAAGATGATGACGAGCAGGAAGAGGAAGAGTTCAACGACGAAGACGAAGGCGAACTTCCTGAAGAAGAGGCCGCCGAAGAAGACGCTCTCGAGGAGCTTCCCACCAAGGGCAAGAGCAAATCTGCTGCTGCCCCTGCGGAGGACGATGGCGAAGACGAAGGCGTTGCGGCCGCTGACGACGATGAGGAAGAGTGAGCGGAACGATGTCCTGTCTTAGTCATTTTTGGAGGTCGTTCTGCCGAAGTGGCGCCAATATGTCGGAGCATATAGAGAATGCAATAGTTTGGGCAATGTCCTTGCGAAGTCGCTATGGCAATTTTGGATTGAAATTTGGGTGATTCATGCTTGAAAGTAATATTTGGCCCACAAAGTTATCCTATGCTCAATTGTCATTTTTCGTTGCTTCATCCCAATCATTGCCTGGCCCCTTGGGGTCAGTTGCTGCCCAACCACCTACCAGGATAGCGTGAATGTAGCTGTTTGGTGCAGCTGAACAATGCCCAATTCAAGTCTCTACGGTGAGGAACAAATTCAAGGCAATGTCCGACCGACTTGAGCATTCTATCCTCCCGTCGCGAAATTTCGGACGGGCCCAACAGTACAGCAGTGCAACAAAATGTTGGAGAAGGGGAACAGATCAAGACTTCACACGCCGGGGAGGATGGTGATGGCAAAAAGTGATGTGCCCCCTGCCAGGATTGAACTAGCGACCTTGTCATTGCGAGTGAAGCTATCTCGACATGGAGATGCTCGTACGAGTGACACGCTCTACCACTGAGCTAAACGGGCTTGGTGTGCGGAGGCGAGCCGGTTAATGTTGCCCATGTTAGTAAATTCTTGGTAGGGGTGGATATTCTTGGCCCCTTTCCAAGTCCATTTTCCTGGTTCAACCACCTTCTCGACATCACTTTGCGAACGAAAAGACTCATACTTTCTTGAAGTGGAAGAAAGAACGACGTTCCCTCCTCATTGCAGCATGCTACGCGTGTCTTGCGTCCTAGTCGAACCATCCTACGGAATCTATACGGCCCACCTTCGGTTTTCTGTTTGAAGCAAGGACGAGGCAACTCAGAACCCAGATTCCAGTCCATCTTGGAGTTAAGAGTTATGAGACCGGCAGGTAACTTGCCCTCACAGTGTTCCCTGTGAGATAGACTGGTATAGTGCGGTATACATTAAACTATGTTTGGGACGACGTCCCTAGAGGTAGATACGCCATATTAACAAAACCTGAAGCAGCCCGCGCCACTGATCTGATCTGATCTGATTTGTTTACCCCGCCACCTCTTACTCCTTGATAAACAGTGTCATTACACCTGACGTCTCCGGCCAGTCGTTTTCCGCAACCTATTATAGCAAGGAAACAGGTCATACAATCCTTTCCATACGTGTGATCCAAAGAAATATAGCAAACCGTGGGTTAACCAAGCACCGGAGGGACCTCCGCCAACCTGTTTGCCGCCACCACATGCCTCACCTGACTGATGTTGTTGAGCAACTCCGACCGCTCGTTCTGCAGTTTCATGCAGTCCTGCTCCAATGCTAGGATCCTTTGTCGAGCCATATCCAGCACCTCGGCCTTGCTCAGTCTGCGATCATCTTCATCGACTGCACTCGCCGCTGCACCCGGCCCCTTCTCACGGTTCTTCCCTTCGCTGATGCTCTTCCGCGACCTCTCTGCCGGCAAGACGGCCAGGAGAGACTCGAACTGCTGGTTCAGTCTGTTTCGGTACTGCTTCTCCACCAAGTTGTGGCTCTGTCTGGCCCTCCGCTCCTCGTTGGTCAGGTCGTCGTCTTCCTGCTCCTCCGGTGGAGCTGGACCGGGCGGTTTGGGCTTGCGGGAGGCGGTGCGTAGCTGGTTCTTGTGGGCACTGTTCTGGCTTGTGGACGTCCTGGAGGAGGCCGAGCTCGACGATCCCTTGGATTTGGCGGCAGTTGACTTGGGCTTACTGCTCATGGACTTGGATCGGCTCTTTGCAGATAGACCTTGTTGTCCCAGAGGTTCTCCCTCTCTGATTTGATCGAAGCTGCCGGGAAGTGCTCGCGCCTGGTAGCTGTTCCGTTTGCGTGGGCCGCAAGACTCGGCTATGGACCGTTTGATGGCTGCACCTGCTGGAAAGGACCCGTCGGTGGGTAATGGCTGGGTGGGTTCACCTTCTGGTTCTAGTCCGGCATAACTAAACTCGGTGGCCGGTGAATCGATGAAGTGAGGTGAGTGTTCCGAGCTTCCCGATATGCTGTGCTTCCTGCTGCAGTTCACATTTTCGCTGTTTGGGGTGAGGTAGCTGGTTGGTATGCCTGTCGAAGGAGGCGGCCGGCAAGCCACAGAGTCGTAAGACGGCTCTGAGAAGAGAGCTTCGGGAGAGTATTCGAACTGAGAATAGTTCATGTCGGTATCTACCAGAGATCCGAACTCAAACCCAGCCCTGGCAAAGCTATCCGGACCCTCGAACGTCGGGGTAATGGGTAGCTGAAGCATGGAATACTATGCTCACAGGGAGTTATATCAGTGAAGGGTTCACACGTATGGGCATGACGGATAGGAAAGAAAGGATGACAGGATTTCCCTGCCCCCCAGATGATCCCCCTAGGCGGTATCTGCATGAGGACTTGATCTGGGACGACCTTGTGTGTATCTCAGTTCGAGTCACCAGTCATCATGAGAAGGGTATCCTTGGGGGCGGTCTTGACTACAAGAGTAGTCTGTCCCGCTTCAACGGTAGGTTTCAATACAAGCGGCTGATGGCACAAAGGGAATCTCTTTTACCTTGATCAGATCCGGGTCCATGTCGGCGGGAAAGTACTCAGTGAGAGGCATCTCAGCTGGTCGTATATCTGGAGACAGGAACGGTAGGAGTCGTCGTTGTGGTAGAGGACAAGCTGATGTTTCCGACTGCTGCACAGCAAGTGATTCGCACGAGCAGAGAACTAGAGACCGATGACTGTTGTAGAAGAAGCGAAGCTATAGAAGCACATACAGTGACGTCGTTAAGCCTCCATCTTATAAGCTGTTTCGATGAGCCGGTGCCCCGAGGGCTGAGGTGTGCTTATTACTAGCCCCATGGACTACATAGCTGCAGTATTAGCATGCCGGTCATTCGATCGGTTTGCGCATCACCGAGGACTCCCAGTCCCATCCCCCCCCCCCCATGAAGTGATATCAGCTTCTCGGCATCTTCGCCCATATTCTGATTGGTCTGGCCAGCCAGCCGGATGCGTCCGGTAAGAGACTCCTCGCGGGAAGTACAGTGCCAGCATCATGAGTGATCGCCCAGAGGAAGCTCTGCCATGGAGTCTGGACCCGAAAGGCCAGAGGGGTGACTGGAGTGCTGGTGAAAAATATGGCGCCACTTTCGGCCGAACTTGCCCAATGGTCCTTTGAGTTTACAATGTGGGAACGTGTGGTGTACCTCGCGATGATCTCGATTAGGATCGGGGGTCCCGCAAAGAACTGGTTCCGCTGGATCCCCCGGTTGCCCCGATTCTCGCAGGAACCACGATGTAACAGAACAGCCGTTGAGAGCTTCTACTACTAGTCGTTCCACAGCATTTAACCACATGTAGTGCTGATGTGCCAAAAGGATAAAAATGACGATTTACAAAAAAAACCAAAAAGGAGCCTCTTCCAATAAACATTATTTGCGATATTTGGTACGGAATTGTGCAACCGTAGAGGCTGCAAAGGAATGAAGCTCGTCAGGGCCTTCTTTGAGCAGGTATAACAAGGGAATCCCCGGTACTCAAAGGCGGGGAAAGATGATTGCAGGGTTGTGAGCTCTCAAAGCTTTGCCTCTGCTGTCAACCTGGGCATCAAGGGGTCCAAAATATGATCTGATGATAACCATACCATGGAAACGGAAGCTAAGGCGGGGCTCGTAGAGTCGTAGCATATCATCGTGCAAGCGGCCCCATCGTGCTTCTTCTACGTACTGCCATACGAATCTGTATGTGTACATAGACGGCGAAAGAGAGCTTATTCCCAAGGGTAAGAATGCCGAAATGCAGGTTTTGACATCCGACTTCCCCCTCTTGGCCATTCTGCTGCCAGAAATCCCATGGCTAGTCCACCTCGAACTGCGCACAGTGTCAGCAGCACTAGCAACAACCCCTCAGAGACGTGTCCCACATGTATCCCAGTCATCGCCAAAGTCCCCTTCGGCCAGTAGATCAGACATGGCGTCGGGCATTTGTTTAAACCTTGACGCTAGTCGAGTCTTGCATTCGCGCATCATGCCTGTCAAGGATCATCTTTCCGCTATGATAGAATTACATACGTATTACAGTGCTTTCCGGATGATGGAATTGCGACGGGGATGCGAAACTGAGTCCCCGAATTCTTGTGGCCGTTCTCCTTTGACGCTTACCTGCGGCGCCGCATCACTCCGGATTCAGGTCTGGAGAAGGGATCCTGGTTGATGCCACCATGAAGAGCATTGAGGGGTTCACTCCACGTAAAAAAGGTCCAGCAGTGTCGTCGTTATTAGTCTCGCTGAGAAACTTGCCTCAGATCGAGATCCTATGACAACAAATGGACGTGGCTTGCGATAGTATATTGGGAAAATGAGACACTGTGCCATTCAGAATTCCGCAAGGTTTCAAGTTTCAGCTCACTCTCTCCCCTGGCAACATTGGCGTTGGCCAATTCTTGTTCGCCTGAAGACGAAACCTGTGACAAAGGTCAAGAACCAGAGTGGCTTGCATTGCATGTAGTACTTACGACGATCTCGACTCTCTTTCAAGCACCTTGTTGGCTGTCTTGGACTACACCTACTTGAGTTCAGGTGACCATACTCAACACCATTGTGGGACTTTGTTCCCTACTCCAGGCCGACTTGGACGAAGTGCCTGTGCTTGATTTTGTGGTATATTAATCTCAAGTCGCGTTATATGTGTTTAATAAAAAAACACAGGGAGATGAACGTCATACCAGTGCAATAATACAACAGTTCAATTGCTGTCAGCATGCCTAACTACCTTGCCTATAATACAATCAGCAAAATGGCTATAGGTACCTGACAAGCATGAGAGTACAGGTTGTAGACGTACCACGAAGTAGGTACTGCTCCATTCGTTTTGTGCATATGTATCCGCGCTAGGAGACTTTTAGGTTGATATTACATGCACAGGTGGTGCCTTCCACCTCTAGAAGTGATCTTGTGAGTGGTCAGCTATGCAGCCAGTATTGATGTGCACGGACCTCATGCTTTTGGCTGTGGGAGGGGAGTCCGGCCCCATTGTTTTCCAGTACCTGATCCAGCCTCTGTCGTGTCCCTCTTTCACAAGGCGTCAGCTTAATCCCTCAATACAACGATCGGATTCTCCATTGCGGATGTCCCCCTTGCAACACATTCAAATTCGAAGGGGCATAGTCGACTAGACGGTGATTTTCGCTCCAACCCCATATCACCTAATTGCTTGTTTCCGGTCCCCATATATCTCCACACCAAACGCGGAAACGGCAATCATTGGGTTGACCATGGCTGAAGTCCAACAACAACATGTGGAGGAATCGGCCGAGCCCTCACCGCGGTCAGCCAAGGAGCGTCACTCGCTAACCCTCGACCAGCGTCGCGCCTTGCGCCACTGGGCCAACACACAGCCCATAAGACCAAGTCATAAGGCTTGCATCGAGTGGTTCAAGCAGGAATACAAACAGTCCATCAGCCAGTCCACCGTCTCGCACTCCCTCAGTCCCAAGTACGCCCGTTTGGACGGCGACGTGGGCCTTTCAGGTTCACGCCTGCGGTTCGGCAACTGGCCTGATGTGGAGAGACTGGTGCTCCTTTGGC